ATCTCCACTGTAGACCTCTCCACACAAACTGATATCAGCTGGTTGTTGCTCAAGTGTGCAGAAAGAAAAAAGTCTGTTCTCTTTTTTCAGAAAACTGAGGCAGCAGCAGGTAACACTGTGACATTAGTGAAATATGTCATTACAGTAACTGTGCATTGTAACTGTTATTATCACCACATTATACCAACAGTGAACATGAATTCTGTCCAAATGCTGCTAAATGTTGAGCTAACACTAGCTTGATGATATGAATGATGGCCTCAGGTCACCTCACCACCTCCACCAACACCACCTGTGTCCCATAAATGTTGTGTGTTGTTCACATTCTGGTTTGGTGACTTTAGAAGCTCTTTGTTAGCAAAAAGTACACCCAATAAAATCCCCCTTTCATAAGCCTTAGAGCGTTCACATGATGGAGCCCTATGATTGTAGGGCCGTCTAAGGGTAAGTTCATGTTTAGGACACGAATGATTCTTTCAACTGTGGAGAAAATGTCTCGTGTTTGCTGTCAGTTGAGTCCATGTTCAGCTGAAGCATTGAGGGAAAGGTGTCTTTTCATTCTTCACCTCAGCTCCCAGATGTGCTTTTAAAAACCTTTTGTTTTTTAATTGGTCCCCAGGGTGAAGCTCCCGCCCTCCCACCCTTCTGCTCACCAGGAAACCAATCACAGTGGATCTCACCTGTCCTCTGAGCCTGCTTGTTTACAGGTGTGTGTCCGGGGCGTCACTGGGGACAGACCAGTGATCGGAGGCGGGCAAAGCGATTGGCTGAGAACGAGGTGGAGGCAGGTCTCATGTGAAGGGAAACCGGTCCCAAAACCACGGGACAGGTGGCTGCAGAGACACCTGGAGGGCTGAGGGCGCTCAGGTGGTCCACTGGCTGGAGGAGGAGACTGAGGAGCGTTTTTGTTCAAGCAGAGCGGCGTTTGTGGCTTCATGAAGCAGAACAAACCTCGTCCTTCATCTTAAAGGGTTTGGAGACGGTTCGCACAGAGCACGCTCAGTATAAAACCAACCAGAAGCTTCTGAACAGCACAGGTAAGCTCGCTCCATCTCCTCCATCCACCTGCATCGCAAATAAGAGCTGCAGTTCACATTTTCTCATTGAATTCATATCTTCTATTGTCCTGTTGGTAACGATGATGACATAAAGAACACAAAGGACAAAATGAAGCCTTAAAAACATGTGATACATTTTTCAAAGAGACGTAAGGATGAGTAGAAACAAATAGAAACGAATAGAAACGAATAGAAACGGCTGACTCGATGTTTGGGACTTCACTGAGTCTGTTTTTATCGCTCTGATGACGCCGCCTCTGCTTCTCAGTCATGATGTCGCCAGATGACCGAGCCCTCGACGACCTGTTGTACGGCAGCGACCTTGGTGACGAGGTGGAGGGGGCGGAGCTGGGCGGCGGCGCAGAGGAGAGCGCTGCTGCAAATAACGTGAACATTAAATTTAATTATTCAACTATATAAAAATAATATAATATTATTGATATAAATATTTATTAGTATTATTATTGTATTATTATATTTTTATTCTTATTTTATACAACATTAGTTTTTATATTTTACTTGTATTCGACTGTCTGTTATGTTTCTTCATGTTGTTGCTGACGGCCGATCAGTTAAAAGTAGGGATGCAACGATACCAATTTTTTCAAACCGATACGAT